GTAAAGACGCAGAGGTACCTCTGTTTCTTCTTCTTGAGGTACTTCTCCTGGGAAAGTTTGGTTCGCAGGTGGAATGTGGAACTGTTTTCCACCAATTTTGTCATAATCTCCTAGAATGGGGGGAATAAACGATGATGGGGACGCGCCAATAACAACATTGCCTGTGGCACCGGACGACTTCAGCACGCGGATCTCCTCAGCGCTAAGGTACTGATTTTCGGAGCGATCGTGTAAGTTACGATTGTCTTTCGAGGAGTCTGTGTTGAGGTCTATACAGGGTAAGGCATGAACAACTGACAACTCGCAGAGATAAACCCTCAATCTTTAGGTCTTCGGAGGCGGGGGAAAGGAGGGGCTTGGCCGTTACACCGTCAAACAAGAAGGTCGTTCCGATAGGATAGCCAATTATGCATGATATAGGAATCTTCGACTGCTTCAAACTAATAAGCCTGTGGAAAAATGAGACCAATAGATAGACAAAGTTTAGGCTATGTTTAATTTTGGAATTATCAAAGTGTGGAGGGTGACATCAGAGGACAGCTCTTTGAGAAATAAATGAATCAGTCTTTGACCAGTTTACTGTGGTTGTGCTTAGGTTTTTAGCACAGAGTAAATTGAGTTGAAATGACATAAAGTTAGACTGTATAGTTTCCAAGCTCGGGCGAAATTGCCTTCATTGGAGTTAAGCTGTGGCGGAGAGATTTAAACATCGCCAAACGTAGAGGAAACACAGTAAGCAAAAATAATTTGGGATCTGCGTCACCATAATGGGAGCTTACCCGCTGTACCGAACAGTGATTACTTGGTAGACATCATCCTTTTGAACTACCACCTTGTCCCCCTCACGTATCTGTCTGGGTCCTTCAAGAGTATGATTTCCGGCATCGGTTTCGACTGCCATGTTCTATTCAAATTATCAAAATGGCAGCTTGATAGTAGACTACAAAAGGCAAAGGACATATCAGACATCAAAGAGAGTCTTGCCATAGCACCCTAATATGCATGCTAGGAGTACTATTGTATGTTGTTAAGTTAACTCAGCTACTGGCTACCTGGCGCGTCTACAGATGGCGAATAGTGGAACCGCCTTCAGCGAAAGTTAGCTGTGAAATAAGCCGGCTCTTATGTCTGGTGAATAATTAGCCGCGGCCCAGCAGCGACAGTGTTACCAGAACGCGGAGAGCTGAGGTCTAGCGCACCGACTGCCTTATAAAATGCTGCAATTCACAATTACGGCACTATGATATGGCGAGCGTGAACCGCTATTAAGTAGGTTTGCTTGCCACCGCTGCCTTGTGGTTAGGTTTATTGAGCCAAAGTGCTAGAGAAGACAACCTCGAACAAAGAATTCGAGTGGCTGTTGGGGACCCGCCTGTATCCAAAATCCCAATATCCCTCATGAGCATGTCCATTTATTATACTACGATACATGGTAGGGTGTCCCCGGGAACCGACTCGCTCCGCAACCCTTATCCAGTGGTTCGGACGAATAACATACAAGTTGCACT